TAGAAATAGTTAATGTTTCAAATAGTAAAATTTTGTATCTGAGCTCTGACAAGACTGTCAAAGAATAAAAAAAAAAATAATAATAATAATTTACTATTAATATTTAAAAAATTTATTAATAAATATTCTTACTTTATTTTAAAGCACTATACATAATAAGAATACTTTCAAATATTTCAGAATTTAAATTTGTTCTTTTTTATTAATTGTTAATCCAGTTATACTAAATTCTCTTTCATTTGATGCACTAAATACTAGAATTAAAAGATAAAATGTACATAAAATTGAAAGTTTTGGATACTCTTTTTCATGATCTTTCCATTATTTTAAAATATCTAAGTTTGTATTCTTTGATACTTTATAAGCTAAATATTGCTCAACTTTATCCAAACTATTTTAATTATCACTTAAATCATAATATTTACTAAAATCTATAAATTCTCTACTAGATTTTTTATATTAATTGTTTTGTTAATCTTTTTTGAGACTCTATATATAAATCATTATTATTATTATTAGAATTAATATTATTAACTTTATAAATTAAAAAATAATGTTCTCTAATTTGATCTTTTACTTATAATATATTATCTGAATCTAAAATATTAAGTTGTTTCATTTTTAGATTAAAGAAAATAACTAATTTATGTAACTCTTCAATTTTATATTTAAGAATTGGTTTTTTATTAACTATTTTCTTAATTTGTTTTAAAACTTCACTATCATGTTAACTTATTTTACAATATTCTTTGAGAGTTTTATACCAAGAAATTACTAAATATAAAATAGGATTTTTAAAAGATTTTAAACAGTTACTTAATTCTTTAAATATTTTTAAAAAATTAATTAAATCTAATAAAATCTCAAAATCAATATTTTTAATTCTATATAATTCATTTTTATTATTAAGAATATTCTTAATTAATTCAAACTGATTATAAACTGATTTAATATTTCTAACTTATTATTTTATCTTGTTTCAAATTTTTGTTTTAAAGATTTTTCTAATTTTAAATACAAAGAGTTTTGTTTAAAATATGTAACTAAAAATATACATTCCTTAATTGTTTCAATTATTGAATAATAATTTTTAAAATTTTTATATTTAAAAGCAGATTCTAAAATAGTATTAATTCTAAAAATATAATTTAAAAATTATTAATTTAATTAAAATATTAAAAAATATAATTTTTTTTTTTTTTTGGTATTAAGGTGAGGCCTTGCTTATATCTTTATTAATAATTTAAAATAGTTACATGTGATTAAAAAATATAATTAAAAAATATAATTTAAAAAATTATCTATGAACAATACATGGAATATGTTTATAATTTTTAAAAGTTATAACAAAATTAGCATCAGAATCTGTAATAAATACAAAATTTTTTATTATTTATTTGGTACAAAATTAATAATTTTTTAAAATTTTAAAAATAACTTTTTTAATATTATCTATTATGTAACTAATATTAGGAAATTTTAAAACTGCTAAAACTTGTTTATTTAAATTCTAATTTTTAATATAATAAACAGTAAATAAAATATAGCTTAATTTTTTATAATTATCAGTCCATATATCAGTAGTAAAAGTACTACCAAAATTATAAAAATTTTTTTTAATTTAAATTCTAAATCTAATTTAATTTTTTTAGTACTCTTTATAATATTTCTAGATATAGTTATTGGATATAAAAATAAATTATCAACTTAAATTTGACCAAATTTAGCATCAATATTAATTATTTCCTAAGAAAAATCTCTAAATCCTTCATCTTCAATAATTTCAAAAGGATGTAAATCTTTATATACAAAATTAACTAATTTTTTTGTAATTAATTCTTTAATAATTGTTGAAATAGATATTTTAGATAAAAAACAATAATTTTTGATTGTAAACTAAAAAAAATACATTGATAATATAATAAATATATGGTACCAAATTTTTAAGAATAAATAAAAATATGATTACAATTTTTATATAAAATATAATCAATATAATTATTTTTTAAATCTACAGTTTTAAAAAAGGTTTTTCAAATTTTATTTTTTCTATTTTTTTCTTGAAAAATAAGTTCTTTGTTTTTTAATTTTAATCTAATTTGTTTAATAAATAAATTTTTAGACATATTAAAAGTTTTAAAATTTAGTTTTTTTAAAATTAATAAGTTTTATATTGTTATAAAAAGATAAAAAGATA